CAAGTGGTATCAGAGCTTGGTTAGATAAGATATTTCTAAACGATCTGTCAAGATGTCTATGCAGAATCAGGTTTACAGGGAAGAAACCTCAATAAACAGACTACCATTATTTGAAGGAGAAGACTATCAGTTTTGGAAATCAAGAATAGAAATATTTTTACAAACACTAGATTATGGTGTTTGGGATGTTGTACTCAATGGTCCCTACATTCCGATGAGAACAACGAAATCTGGAGTTGTTCCAAAGACTTTTGACCAATGGACGCTGGATGAAAATAAGCGTACCCATTGTGATGTAAGAGTTCGCAATGTTATTGTTTCTGCCTTAATTCGTAATGAATTTTTCAGGGTCTCACAATGCAAGACGGCAAAAGAAATATGGGACACTCTTGAAGTAACACATGAAGGAACAAATGAAGTAAAGCGAGCACGTAAGAACACACTCATCCAGGAGTATGAAGTATTTCAAATGCAGCAAAATGAAAACATCACGGGTTTCCAGACACGCTTCACACATAGAGTAAATCACTTGAAAGCATTAGGAAAGAGTTTTGACAATGAGGAGTTGAACACAAAGATCTTGAAATCTTTAGATAAGAATTGGCAACCAAAGGTCACTACTATTGCAGAATCAAAGGATCTCACAGAAATCAATATTGTTACTCTATTTGGAAAGCTGCAAGAATATGAGATGGAACTACAAAGGTTAAAGAATGGTTAACAGAATCAAGCCAAGATGATAACTCTAAAAGTATAAAAATCTTCACAAGACGAAAGCGAAAATGAAGGTAAATTTTTGGATTCTGATATGTCTCTTGTTGTTAAACAATTTTCTCTCTTTATGAAGAACAGGAAAAAGAGACAACAAAGAAAGGAGAAAACAAATAAATATCATTGCTATGAATATAGAAAACCTGGTCATATCAAATCAGACTGTCTGGAACTTAAGAAAGATGTGAAGAAAGGGAAGAATGGTATCTATAAGAACAAACGCAAAGCTTATATTGCTTAGGAGGATAATGATTCTTCCACAATATAAGAGAGTTCTTCCGAAAGCAGTGATGGAGAAGAAGAAGTAAATATTTGCTTGATGACAAAAAGTGATGATGAAGTCTCATCACAGGTAAGCAGTACAAAATCCTTAAATGAATATGATGAGATGAGTTGTTTAAAGAATATCAAGATATGTATGAAGGTTTTACCAAATTATCTAAGAAATACAATGCACTTAGATAAAAGTTTAATGCATTAGAAAATATTGTTGGTATTCTTGAAAAAGAAAATGAGTGCTTAAAGAAAGATGTTAAGAAATTTAAAACTTTGTATAAAAATAAAGAAGTTGCTAAACCTTGTGAAAATTGTAATCATTTGGAAAATGAGATTTCAAGTTAGAGAAAATAATAAGCAAGTTTTCAAAATCTTCTGAAAATCTTGATTCTATATTATGTTATCAAAGAGGGAATTCTAGCAAAGCTGGACTTGGTTACAAACCCAAAGAAAGTCTAGAACCTCATAAATCTATTTTTGTGAAAGAGTCAGGGAAAACAGATGTGAAACCAGTTTCAAAAACTTTAAGAAACTCATTTAGACATTTTCAAAGAAAACCAACATGTTTTTATTGCATGAAAATAGGTCATACATCAAATAGATGTTACATAAAATATTTTGGCATATCTAATGACAAATATGAATGGGTGCCTAAAGGAACAAAGCATTTATACATGTCTAGATGATAGTTTGAGCATCTATATGATTATCAGAATTGGAAATTTTTTTCTTGATGTCATAATCAATTATGTTGATTCTGAAGGTGTTGTGATAATAAATTATTATATCATGGTTATATTCTTTTAATCCTTAGTCTTTTGGCAGAGACTTGTGATTCTACTAACCTTTTTAAGGACCCAAAAATAATTAAAGGGTACCTAGATTTGTATGTTGATGTTGCAGGTAATTATCAAGGATAAGAAATTAATGCAGGTTATTGAAGCTAAATGGGTGTACAGGAACAAGCTAGATGAATAGGGAAATACAAAGATAAGTTTATAATTGTCTCTCAAGCCTCTATATTGAATATCTGCATTTATCTGTCACATAAATTTGATTGTTAACCAACTTTGAAATTTGAAAGTTTGAATTTTGAAAATTTGAAATTATTAAAGTTTGAAATTTTATAGTTTGAGATTCTTGAAATTTGAAATTTTGTAGTTTGAGGTTTTTTTTTTAAATTTTGCAGTTTGAGATTTTTGAAATTTGAAATTTTGCTGTTTGAAATTTTTTTTTTTTTAAATTTGCAGTATGAGAATTTTGAAATTTGAAATTTTGTAGTTTGAGATTTTGAAATTTGAAATTTTTGCAGTTTGAGATTTTTGAAATTGAATTTGAATTGGAATTTGAAATTTGAATTTGAAATTTGGGATTAGAAATTTGAATTTGAAATTTGGAATTTATTGGAATTTGAATTTGAAATTTGAAATTTGAAATTTGAAATTTGAAATTTGTTGCAATTTGAATTTGAAATTTGAAATCTGGAATATGAGTGAATTTGAATTTGAAAGCTACCTAAATAAGTAGACTGCAATTTGGGAAAACTACTGCATTTCATTCCATTATCTCTACAATCATTCAATTGCCCTATTTTTCTCTCTCTTCATTTGTCTTAGGTATCCAAGATATTGCCTCCTTAATATGATGTTCTTCTCTATGAACATTTTATCTTCTCTGCCTTGATTTATATACTAATATGTGCAAATATGTTCTCAATTTATATTGCAATATTTTTCATAATTATCAATGAAACAGGGAGATATTTTGATGATATTAATCTGTGTGAAATAGAGGGAGATTTTTTTCTCTTATAATATTTTTTATGATTATCAATGAAACAGGGGGGATTTTTTGATTAATTAAAATCTGTGTGAAATTCATTCCTATCTCTAAATTAAACAAGGGGAGTTAAGAGAAGTCTTTGCTCATATGAGTTAGGGGGAGTCTTGTTATTAATATATCCAGGGGGAGATTAAGAGACTCTGACACTATACAAATTTGTGCTAATCTGTGTTATACTATACTGTGTTAATCTTGAGCTAACTATATAGAGTCATAAAAAAGGGGGAGATTGAAAGCAATAAGGGGGAGATTGATGACAATGTAAAACATGTCTCTACATTCCTAAGAGATAATTTTGATGATGATTCAAGTCAACAACATTCAAGACTCAAGCAAGCCCAAGATATGATTTTGATAAATATTTTATTCAACATTCAAGCAAGCCCAAGATAATTCCTGAATATTAGATAGAGTCTTAGAATACTGGATATGGAGGTACAAGTTGATGAAGTAATATTATACATAAGCCTCCAAAGCACAAGTGTGATAAAATTCATAACATTATTATTTTTCACTGTCATAATCAATTATGATGCATCAAAAATGGAAAAATGATTTTCTCTGTCATAATTGATTATACTGGTAACATAATCAATTATGGCAATTCAAATTTGACAAATATATTTGTTTTGAAGAATAAATATTTTTGAATATATCCTTATTTTTATTCAGGAAAATATTAATGTCCAACGACCATTTTTTTATGCTATTTTTTCTATTTAATTAAGTTTTGATGATAAATAAAAAAAAACAATTACAGAATTTGAAAATACAATTTACATTCAATCAATTTTGAGAAAAGAATTCTGAGCAAGGCAACGAGAGATATTTTACACCTTCTGAGAAAACTCTCTTCTCTACTACCTTCAGTGCTTTCATTGTTAATCACACTTGTTCTTAGAGATTGACATTCTACATGCTTCTACAATTTGTTGTCTTCATTACTCAGGTGTGATTGTTCTTATCTTACTCCTTTGTCCTTTGTGGGTTTAGGAGGTGTTTTCTTCCCTTTGATTTGTTCAGGGAGGTGTTCATCCCTAATGTGATTCTAGGGAGGTGTTCATCCTTAGTGGGATTCTAAGGAGGTGTTTTTCATCATTTGATTTGTTCAGAGGAGGTGTGCATCCCTAGTGGGATTCTAGGGAGGTGTTCATCCTTAGTGGGTTTCTAAGGAGATGATTATCTTTTTAATTAGTTTACTTTTTACTGGTTCTTCTGCTGAGTAGATTGTAATTTGTAAATTGAATTTGAAAAATAGTGAATTGAGAGTCACTCTTGTGTTAAGAGTTGACTGGGAACTAGATGTAGGGTTGGTTATACCCGAAGTAGTATAAATCATTGTGTGTTCTTCTCTTTCCCTTATCTCTTTCTCTTTTCCTGATTATATTATCGCTTCCGCTTTATCTGTGTTCAAACAAATTATTGACTCACAAATAAATTTTTAATTTAACATCTATTTTAATATGTTTATCTATTCACTCCCCTCTAGATGTCATTTGTCTAACATGTATTACTATAAATATGTCTAAAATTTGTATTGTACTAGATTTTGTATATTTAAATACGTAAGAAATCAGAAAAAATCTAAAACAAATTTCACTTAAAAAAAACCCAATATATAACGACGATTAATATCATATCTGTAGTCATATACATATCTAACACAAGGTTTCAACAACAGGTATGACAACAAACGTCGTTATATTATGTGAGATACAATGACAGGTATTTGGAAATAACCAATGATGGTCAAAATTTCATATTCAGTCAACAATTTTATTATAAAATATTTTAAATTTATAATTAAAATAAATTATTTCTTACATATTTTGTATTTAAAATAAGATAAACGGAACACTGATTGATAACATAACAACAATAAATGTTGAGAAATACAACCGTTATATGACAAGCTTGAAAAAGGTTATGTACACTGCACTTGTTAAATTGAACAAATGAACTTCTTTTAAAAATAAATTTTTTTTGCTGTTTTATCAATACCTGAGTTAAAAAAAAAAACATAATAAAATGGAGTAGATTTATTTATAATATATTGTACATGAATATTATTTCTTCAACCATTTAATTTTTTCAATATTTTTTGTAACAAATTATTGCTTTTTTCTACACTCTTGCATGCAAGGATTGACCATGTTGGTTGCAAGATCCCGAGCACCTGAGAAGCAAAGGAAAATATGAAAACCATGCAAAAGACAATGAATGAAATAAAAGAAAAGAAGAATTATAAATCCATGGAAAGTATGAGAGAAAACATACCAATGCTCATGGCAATGGACTTGATCAAACCACAACCAGTAAAACAATTGTTGAAAAGATCAGAGGATAACTTTTTACAATGGGAATGACAATCAGAAATACATTTTTTATGCATTTCAGGATGTCCTTCTTGAGGTGCACATAAAATTGCACACTTCACTGAACACAAAAACCCATCAGACCCATCATCACTCTTCAATTCAGCTTGTGCAAAACCCAACACAATCATCACCATCATTATAACTCCAACACTTTTCATCTCAACTTTTCCCATCTCTTCTCTCTATCTATGTACCTTTCTGATGAAATATTTATATAAATGTCAAATGTTTGTTGTGATGTTTTACCAAAGCTAAACGTCAATTTATAGAAGAAATTTTTTATGTTTTTTTTTCACTATTTAATATATTTCATTCATAAAACATATTTGAATAGAAAAAAATAAATATATTAATATCATACAAAACTGTTTAATCATTTATTTATTATTTTTAGCTATAATCTTTTTATTTATTGAATGTAACCAATATTGATATTGTTTACTGTGACCATGTGTTATATTTAAAAAATAAAAATTAAATAGTTTATGTATATTAAGACTAATTCATTGTGTACAATAAAATTTAATAAATACATTGTATTTAATATAATCATTATTTAAAAATGTTTAACATACATTATAAATTTAATAAAAATAATAACTATAAATTTTTTTATTTTTGGTCAAGGAGTCAAAAGAAAAAAAATAACATCTTTGCCAATGTTATATATATTTAACAATGTTATTAGTATCTCCTTTACTTATTTAAGCATGATTAAATTTTATCGAATTTTATGGTTTACCACATTTAAGAGGATTTTTTATTCCAACTATTTTTCATTAACACATCACATATTTAATGAGATTAAGATTTAGGAATGTTTAAAATCAAATTGATAAAAGAATATAACAAAAATAATAAAAAACCAAAAATCGATCAAAATTATTTTTTATATATTTTTTTCAAAAACTCCCTTATTAGTTATTACTTATTATCATATTCAATTATATTAAATATTAAATTTTGTTTAACATTATATACATAGAGAGCGAAAATAATAACTTTATCACTTAAATGTCGGAATGTATATATATTATATTTATTAAATATAATATTTAGTGATTTTGAAAATAAATTATTTGTGAAACATGATAAAATTGTTAAATTTTAAAAAATGTAACTATAATGCAAAATAAAGGTTATATATGTATAGTCTTTAAATTTTAAAATAACTACTTTATTTTTTAACAAAACAACATGTTTACAAAAACATGTGTAAAATACATTTATTAAATATGTATTAATGATATTTATTGAGATGATAAAAATATATAATTATCTACCTTTCAATTTTTATATATATTTAATTATTTGACTACACATTATATCCAATTAATATATTATTTAATGTTATTATTTATAATATTGTATTTTAAACTATGTAATACAATTAAAATTGATAAAATAAAGTGGTAGTAATTTTTATCTCTTAACCGAATATATAGTTAGAGTTTCAATCCTTACTGTACGACTAAAATTCATAAAAAAAATAAATATTATTTTTAAATTTTAATAATTTTTTATATTTTTTGGAAATAATAGTTTTTTACTAAATATAATTTTTGATGACATTTTATTTTTATATTACTAAATATTAATTTTATGTATAGAAAATATTAAAATTACTTACTTTACGAATTTAGCTTTCTATAAACTTTATAATCCTAAAAAAATATTATTAATGTTAAATTTATAAATAAAGAAAAATTAAACTTATATTTTCAAAAAGTTAAAAGACTTCTTAATAAAATCATTATGATTTTTTCTATAGTTATAATTACAATAAAAATAACATTATGATTTTTTTTCTTTATATTGATGTGACAATGAAAAACTATTTATTATTTTTGATAAAATATGTTTTTAATATTTTTAAATGTGAAATATGTTAAAATAATTAATCTCTACAAAATGTTTGTTAGGTACAATTTTTTAGTTTCGCTAAAAAATAATGCGCATGTCACTGATGAAAATGCTACGTAATCATATCTAAATTTTTGATAAACATTTTTTATTTAAAAAAAAAACGGAATTCGTTGTTTATTGTAAGAATTTAATCATTGAAAGAATTTAACAGAAATAAAAAATAATAATTACTGTAAGAATGTAACAGTAATGAATGAGTTATTGAGTCAAATTTTTAAACCCTAACTTATATTTGAATAAACTTAATTTTCTACGAGATAAACTAAGAAGGGTTACTAATCTAATTCTATATTATTATTCCAGTGATTTTTTTTTGTTTTTTAAAGAAAGCCCATTTAAAGCAATTATGGTGACAATTAACGTTATATATTTTACTGTATTAACGTTATACGATTTTTAAATATCCCTTTTTTATATATATTTTATAAATTGTTTTTGATGATAGCTTCTTTATAAAAACAATTAACAATAAAAAAATGAAGGAAAATAATTGGACAAAGGATTAAAGAAAGTAGAGTTATTTATAATAATTATGGACGAATATTATAATTTAACATCATTTTCTGGAAATTTAATGTAACAAATTATTGCTTTTTTCTACACTCTTGAAGGCAAGGATTGACAAGGTTGGCTGCAAGATGAGGAGCACCTGAGAAGCAAAGTAAAATATGAGAAGCATGCAAAAGAAAATGAATGAAAAAGTGTGAGAGAAACATACCAATGCTCATGGCAATGGACTTGATGAAGCCACAACTGGTAAAACAATTGTGAGAGGACAAAGTGTTACAGTGTTTGTGACAATTATCAATACATATTTTATGATCTTTAGGTGATGCTTCTTTAGGTACACATTTGAATCCACACTTGAGCCAACACAAAAACCCATCAGAATCACCACCACCACCACCACCACCACCACCACTCTTCAATTCAGCTTCTGCAGAGCCCAACACAATCATCACCATCATCATAACTCCAATTATCTTCATCTCAACTTTCTCCATCTTTACACACTCTCCAAAATGTTTCTCTCACTGTCAAATTTCTTCTCTCAAGTTTAACTGAAGCTAATAAACACCAATTTATAGAACAAATTTTTTATATTTTTTTTATTACTCTTTAAATTATTTTATTCATTAAACATATTTTATTAAGAAGAAAACAAATCTATCAATATTATAATAAATATTTACTAATTTACTTATTATTTTTAGATATAGTTATTTATTTTATTTATTGAATGTAACCGTTATTCATATTGTTTACTTTGACCATGTGTTATATTTAAAAAATAAAATTTAAATAGTTTGTTAATATTAAAACTAATTCGATTCATCTATATATACACATTTATTGTGTACAGTAAAATTTAATAAATACATTATATTTCATAAAATCATTATTTAAATATTTAACATGTAATGAGTCTATACATCATAAATTAATAATTAAGCATAGGAGCAATATACAGGAAGGAAAGTCAAATTTTGTTATAGTATTTAAATTACAGTAATGATTAAATAAAAATATTAACATGTTATATTAAATTAATATGATTCTGTTTTATTTTAAGAAATAAAGTAAAGAAAATATATAACAATGGTAGAAAGCATCTCCTATACTTAATTACGTATGATTAATTTAATCGAGATTAATATTATCGGATAAGTGTGAAGATTTTTTATTCCAATGTTTTTTATTAACAAAGTTTCATCATATCACCATATTTAATGAGATTAAAAATTGGGTGTCTAAATGTAGAATATATATATATATATATATATATATATATATATATATATTATTTATTAAATGTAATATTGAATTATTTTAAACAATCAATTTATGGTATTTGTGATTAATAATATTTATTAAGATGATTAACATATATACTAATTTACGTTTCAATATTAATATACATTTAATGATTTGACTAAACGTTATATCCAATAAATATAATATTTAATGTTATTATACATATAATTTCTTATAATATTATATGGTAAACTATGTAATATTAACATTGATAAAAGTGGTAGTAATTTTTATATAGTTTTAATTCTTATTTTATGATCAGAATTTATATAAAAAAATAGTATTTTTAGAGACAGATTTTCGTGTCAAAAATGTTAGGAGAATGAAATTAATAAAAGGTATATATTTTTGTGGCCAATATGCTAGGAAACTATATACACTAGGTGCCAAATTTCCATCACTAGTTTGCTAGAAAAATGAAATTTATCAGGGACAAAAAAAATTGTCATTAAAGCCTCAGAAAATGAAATTAATTAGAGACAAAATTTTCTATCACCAATTTGTTAGAAAAATTCAATTAAGTAGAAACTAAATCTGATATATTTGAAAAATGAAATGAACTACAAACAAAATTTTTGGTTGCTAACTTGTAAGAAAAAGATTAATCAGAAGAAAAAAATTGGTTGCAGATATTTTACAAAAATTTACATTAGATAAAGATTGAACTTTTTCATCGCTAATCCACTAAAAAAATAAAATTAATTATAAACTGAAATTATTAGTTGGTAATTTAGAAAAACGCACTTTAGTGGCTGAACCTTTCGTCACTAATTTACTAAAAAATAAAATGTATTATTATGTTAAAAATAAATTAGACACAAAAATTTTAGTTACTAATATATTAAAAAAATGATGGTAATCGGAGATTAATTTTGTGTCACTAATCAATTAAAAATAATTGAATCAAACATTGATTTTTAATGGTAGTTATTTTATTAACATTATTTAAAAATTGTTTTGTCTAATATCAAGGGTGTATCTCAATTTTATATTTATTATAATAGAATAGTTATGGTTAATTATGATGTACAAGGTATTATTCTTAAAATACACATTGGTAGAATAAAAAAATAAAGTATATGTAAACTACCATTAACCTCGACTCCTGAGCAATATATGATTCATGAACATATTGAAACATAATCCTTGATCGAGAACTAAGGAATAAGTAAAAGTGGAACGCGATTCTATCTTTAACCCCATAGTAGGCGACAATGTTTTATTTAGGAACAAGAGTTTATTTATCTCATATCTGGTATGATATTATCGTTTAGGTCTATTACAATATTATCATAATGAACATAAAATTGGGCACTCTCGTTCTAAGATGGAACATTGACATACACTATAGGTTGAAAATAAAGTTTCGACTCATACCTACCTTTTAGTCCTTAACTAGGAAGTTATATTTCAGTACCCTCATAAGTTTCACGTGGTTTAGAAGTTGAAGTTAATGGTAATTTATATAGATCATCATCTCTCAACTATTATGACAAATGAAGTTTTAAAACGAACAATACCTCAGACGTGATAATTTACCTCCCTAACGATGTTATCATACTAAACATTCATGAAGTCGGGACACTCTTTCCTAGATGGAATATTGACACTCATCATGGGGCTAAGAACAAGGTCTCATTTCAATCCTATCCCTTAGTACTTGATTGAGGGTTATGTTCGGGTATGCTCATGAGTCTCACTAGGGATGACAATTAAACACGTACCCGTGGGGAGTGACTCGTCCCCACCCCAAGTTTGACGGGGAAAACCCGAGTTGATCGGGGGGCGGGGGCGGGTTCGGGTTTTCCCCACTTTAAAAAGTCGAGGACGGGGGCGGGAATGAGTAATACAATCTCCACCCCACCCCCGTCCCGACTTTAAATTTTAATTTTAATTTTAAAATATTAATATTTTAAAAGTATTTCCTTTTTTTATTACATATAAGGTCATTTTTTTATATTTCACCAATTTTTATGTTTCTTCTACCCACTTTTTAATTTTTTTGTCTTTTTTAATCTTTTATATTAATTAATTTATTACATTATTCTCTCTCTTTCCTTTCAGTTTTTCACATTTCCTTAATCTCTTCCATCAATTTTTTTTTCAATCTTTTCAACTAATTTGATGAACACAAAGTTAATTTTTTGTATTCTTTATCTTTTTCTAAATATTTTACATAAATCTTAGTAGTAACTAATATTATTTTATTTATAATTTATATTTATTAGGTTTTATTATGTCATATTTTTTTATCTTATTATTCTTATTTATCATATATCAAATTTTATCTTAATAAAATAATTATATTTTAAAGAATTAAAAGAATTGATAATTTAAATTTTTATTACTTCTAATTAATTGAATAAGAATTAACTTATTAAATATTTTCTTATAAACTATATATTTCATATTTTTAAATGATAACTTAAAAATGAATTAACTTATATATATAATCAAATGTTTGAATACATTATTATAATAATAATGTTATAAGAATTCAAATATTTGAATACAGTGTTACAATAATAATAATAATGTTATAAATAAAAAATTATTAAATATTTCTTTTACATACATATTTTAATATAAATATAATAATTTAAAATGTATATTTAATTAATAATAATTATAAATTATAAATATTTATTTATATATAAAAAATATATAGTAAAATTAATTTATTATAAATATAATTATCTTTTTAAAAATAATATAGATCGGGGACGAGCGGAAGCGGGGAACCTGAAATCTAACGAGGATGGAGATGGAGACTTAATTTCTAACATCGGCAGGGATCGGGGATGGGCTCGGGGAGGCAAAACCCGCCCCGCTCCATTGTCATGCCTAAGTCTTACATCGTTTAAGAATTAAGTCTAAGGGTAGTTATATACACTCATTCCTAGATGGAAACATTCATAAGACTAGAACAATGACGCTCACCATGGGGTCGAGAGCAGAGTCTCACTTTACTCATTTCCCTTAATCCTTGATTAGGGGACTATTCTGGTATACTCATGAGACTCACATTGTTTAGAAATCAAAACTAAAGATAGTTTATATACATTCTTGTTCTTAGATAAAACATTTATGAAGTCAAAATATTTTTATTCTTATATGGAATACGTTATGTTCCAGCATACTCATTAATCTCATTTTTGTTCTTAGATAAAACATTTATGAAGTCAGAATATTCTTATTCTTATATGGACTGTGTGGGTTATGTTCCAGCATGCTCATTAATCCCACATTGAAACGGAAACATTTTAGTTTCTAAACAAATCAGAAACAAAGTTTTTTTCTTACTAATGTTTTAGGAAAAAAATTAAAGAGAGAAGACTTTTGTGAGTAGTATGCTAAAAAATATAACCAATAAAAAGTTATTATTAACATGTTAAAAAATAAATTGGAGACAAAATTGTTGATCACTAGAAAATGTTAATTAAAGTCTATTTTTTTGTCGTTAATCGATTAAGAAAAATTAATTGAAGACTAACTTTTATGATCATTATTTTATTAATAAATATTATTTAGAGATTGAATTTTATATGTTGCTAATATGTTAGGAAAACTAATAAAAGATGGAAGATTTTTGTCAATAATTTGTTAGAGACTAAACCCGTTTGAAAAATAATGAAATGAGTTGAGTATGATTTTTTTTTCACTAATCCATTAGAAAATAGATACTAGTTATAGATTAATTTTTCCGTCACTAATCTCTAAAAAATGAAACTAATTAAAAACTGGTTTTTTTGCTAATTTACACCAAAATATTCGTGGCAAGATTATTGAGAAAATATTCCTTACTGTAGAGACTAAATTCTCAGTCGCAAATATGTTAGAAAAATGTAATTAATTTTAGTTTGAATGTTTCCATATCACATTCGTCGGAAATTACAAAATTAATTAGAGATACAATTTATCATCATTAATTCGTTAAAAAAATAAGTTAATTATAGGCATAATTTTTTGGTAACTAATATATTTAAAAGATATTCGTTACTCAAAGACCAAAATTTTGTCATTAATTTTTAAAATAATATCCACGACTTAGAGATTAAAAAAATAAATCAATTACAGACAATTTTTTTTGTTTTGCTAATTTGTTAGAAAAATATATTAGTTAGGGATTGAACTTTTCCAGAGCTAATTCGCAATAAAATAAATTACATATAATTGATTAAAAAATATAATTAGACTAATTTCTTCATTGTTAATCCTTTAGAAAAATAAAATTAATTTTATAAATAGAAACTTTCATAGTTAATTTTATGAAAAATATCCATTACTCATGATTTGATTGAGTTAATTTGCTAGTAAACTAAAATTAATTAGAGATTGAATTATTCATGGCTTATTAGTTAAAGGATTGAATTTTTTTCATCACTCATGCATTAGAGATTGAATGAAATGATATAGAGATAGAACTTCTTGTGACTAACATTTTAGAACAATAAAATTAATTAGAACCTAATTTTTTTTATCATTAATCTGATATCTATTACTTACAGAGAAATTTTTTAAAATAATATCTATGACTTAGAGATTGATGATAAAATTAATTAAAGAGATTTTTTCTCGCTAACTTTTAGATAAATAAAATTAATTAGATCAAAAATTTCATCATTAACTATAAATAAATTAAATTAATCGGAGATAAAACAAATCTCCACTAATTTAAAAGTTGAAAATAATTAGAAATCTAATTTTTTCTATCAGTAATAAATTTGAAAATAAAAGTATTTATAGACATTATTTTTTAGCCTCTAATGTATTAAAAATGTATCATTAATTAAAAAATTCATATATCGTTGACTGTTTAGAAGTATAAAATTAACTAAAGACAAAGAGATTCTAAAATGATTTTTTTTTAAATCATAATTTTTTTTTCATGTATTTCATTCCTTCTCGTTATATCTTTAACTATACAAATATTCTCTAATTATTTTTTTCATAAACTTCGATAATAACTTTGATTAAATTTATTGTTATTTTATGGATAATCTCCAAGTTACGACAACAAAGGTGAAAAAAAAAATACGATTTATTTCTCAGAAATGTGAATACATATTATTTCTCTTAACTTTTTTTTCTTAGAATTTCTTATGACAAATTATTTATTTATTTTTACACTCTTTCAAGCAAGGATTCAACATATTGGCAGCAAGATCAGGAGCACCTGAGAAGCAAAGAAAAATATCAGAAACATGCAAAAGACAATGAATGAAATCAGAGAAAAGAAGAATTATAAAAGCATGAAAAAGTGTGAGAGAAAACGTACCAATGCTCATGGCTATGGACTTGATGAAGCCACAACTGGTAAAACAATTGGAGAGAGGATCTGAGGATAAATTGTTGCAATGTGATTGACAATCACCAATACATTTTGAATAAATTGGAGGATATGGTTCATAAGGCGCACATTTGAATGCACACTTTATTCTACAAATAACTCCATCACTTTCACTCTTTAACTCAGCTTCTGCAAAACCTAAGACAAGCAACACCATGGTTATAACTCCAATACTCTTCATCTCAATTTTTCTCATAACTCTTCTCTCAGTCTTTACACACTATCTAAAATGTTTGTATAAGTGTCATGCATCTATTTACAACATCAATTTATAGAAGAAAATTGTTATGTTTTCTTTACTTTTTAAATGTTTAATTTAAAATAAAAATGTAAAGTCAAAGAATGACTAAGTTTTTTTTTTTTAGTTGACAAAGAAAATTGTTACTTTTGACATAATTTATTTTTCAAATATAAGAGGAAAAAAATAAAGTGTTAAAGAAATTGATATTTTTCAAAATCATCAGTCTCTTATCTCTCCAAAATATTAATATGATACTTAAATATTTAATAATTCATTTATTATTATTTGTTTGCTATAATTCAAATTTATTGAATGTAACCGTTATTCAAACTGTTTAATTTGAACATGTATTATATTTAGACAATCATATTTAAATAGATTACAAATATTAAAACTAATTCAATTATATATATAAAAAAATTATTGTGTACAATAAATTTTAGTAAATACTTTATTTAAATATGTAACCCGTTTATGTAATGTGTTTTTACATTATGAATGTAATAAACATCAAATTGACTCTTTTTTTATAATATCTTAATTATAGTAACGATTAGTAAAAAAATTAATATATTATAATAATTTGATATGAGTTTTTTTTTCAAGGAATCCATTACCAAAAATATTTGTGGCAATAAGTTTTCGTACTTCATATATTTTTTCTTATAATACTATTGGTATGAAACCCCTCAGTTTATAAAATAATTAATCATAAATGAGAAAATATAAATCACAATATAAATAATGAGTTTAATTATAATGAACTTGAGTCATGCATCAAGTTATATCTTAATTGACAATATATTAAGTATATATTCAATTGTTAATAAGAATTGTTTAAAAATAAAAAAGTATTACTTATATTTTTTTTTCTAATTTTAAGAGTTTTTTTATATGTAAAATCTATATTAATGGTTTAATTCATAAATCATTCTTACAAGCAGCTTTCTTTTAAAGATATTTGAAGTCATTATTTTAATAATTGTCACTTACTAAAACTGTTTCACAATGAAAATGTAAGGTCTAAATTTAATAAAATCGTCCAAATATTTAATATAGTTTATTTAAAATTAAAAAAGTTGCAAATTACCTCATATCTAACATATTTAAAACATAATTCAAAGATCTTATATATCTATTATTACAAACAAATAATTTAGAAATAAGACTTAACAATTCAATTATTTTGTATTATAATAACTACAACACTATATTAATCATAACAATTCCCCATAAAAAATATTATATTATTAATCATATCATTTATCAAGTAATAATTTCAAAAGTTTATATAATATCTCTACCGTAAAATGTGTCACTCTTACTCATTTACTGTCATTTGTTCAAAGCTTATTATATTTATATACAATTAGTAACTTATGCGTTAAAACATTATTTACAAGTGGATTCCATTCTATTCATGTTTATAAAGATTGGAACTTTTACCTGATTAAACTATTTTCTCGTAGATATTCAAATAATAATGATAACGAAAACAAAATAATAATAATTACACATGGGCAATGCATTAGCTTGGTGCTAATGTATTGTTTACATACATACATCACGAGGGTAACATTCAAATCAGACTTCACCGGAACTAAAGAATTAAGGTTAAAGCCCCTTCGACTTTTCATCTATTAGAGCCCAACTTAACATCTCAGTACAGAACTGATCATCCGGTTTCAGCCACAAGGCCTAAAATTCAAGGAGTAAAAAATCATAAATAAACACAAATACATGTTAAGCAAACGTGCATCAGAGGTTAATTACCATGAGTATAAAACAATATAGGATTTACTCACTTTGTGATAATATGTTATTGCTGTAGTGAAATCATCCTACATAAATTACATTCAACAGTTAAAAAGTGGAAGTCAATCAATTTCATCAAATAAAAAAATATAAAGATGTCAGTGCCTTGACCAGGTAGGACATGCAATTAGTTTACAGGAAGTCCTTACATAATAAAATGCAGAGTTTCTTTCATTTCACACGCACACCACTTTTAACCAGCCTCAACTTCTTTCAATAAATAAATCCATTAATGAATGTGTTGACATCTTGTTGGTATAATTGTAAAATCTATGAACTAGGGATTTTAGTAAATCAGACCAAGAACTACAATATAGTGGAACCAATCAACTATTCCTCTCAAAAATTACAAACGCTGACAAAGGTCAAGAGCAATCATTCCTCAGCGGCCAGCAGAGATTCTTTTTAGATAAAAAATCAACATAAACTATTTACCATGCCGAAATCACAGATCCAAATTTCCAAGCCAACTCATACATAGAAAGCTACATAGAGCAGGACATTTGCTTTTCAGAAAACACCATAATACGTTATGTTATACTGTAAAACACATAATAGGAAAAATAGTAACAGTTTATAATACCTGTAAGTGGTAAGTGTATGCAAGACCAGCATAAGTGCTCACACTTCTCGTTGATAATGCAAGTGCTTTCTCATAGAAAGAAATTGCTTCTCGGTACATCCTGAAACAGTTCATTTAGACAATCAGGAATCAACAATCATGTCCCTCACCAGTCATTATAAACAAATTAGCACCGCCATTATTTAGATTAAACCTTTTTTATCAATCCAAGAAATTGATATTTCAACTTTCTTTCCGTCAAAATTGATGGATAAGGACATTCAGAAGCATCAAAATTGAGGACAAGAAATTTAAACATAAAGTAACCATGAAAATAACAAAAAATTTCATCGCTTTTAAAACAAATCCTCTAGTAAATGATGTTTCAACTCAGCAACTGAAATTCTAAGTATGCTAAATATTCTATAGCTGAGGACAAACAAATTTAAGTCAGATGACCACTGTGATATTTATCAACTTACTTCAATTTTCTGTATGCATGGGCAAGATTGACTACAGTCGATTCCCACATTTCAGATAAAGCGGTTGGTATCAATGCTAATGTTTTCTCAAACCACCACACAGCTTTCTTATACCTGAATCAGAATCCATAGTTAATCAGATCAAAGTCTGTCAGTTTTGCTATTTTGCATGGAAATTAGTCTGACCAAATATTAAAAAAAAGGGTTTCTAACTGTATAGAAATTTGGAGATAAAGACAGTGGACTATTACAAGATAACATCTCAAAGTTGCCGATTTCATCACAATAATAAAATAACTTTCCATGGTTAAAAACTAGTTAGTACATTGTTACTCTTTCAGACTTAACAATCCTCCACTAAAGGCTTCGCAAGATCCCCATGTCCTTCCACTTTTTCTAATGGTAAGAAATCTGTCAACATTTTTAATCCATAATGTCATGGATGGTATTAACCAAGAAGTCCTAGCATCAACTAATGATATCTTTTCAAAGGTCACATAATTTGGTCCAAGATAAAATGTATTCAACATCCCCAATGGAATATTACAAGTATTAGATAATGTGAATATCCCTATTAGAGACATTCACTGTATCGTAACATATAACATCTACTTCCATGTTTACAGTAGTGCCAATTCATTGTAATTTCATTTACATTTCTTCTGTAACATAGTTTGCCAGTTAGTCTGTTAGTTGCTGACTCAGCAATGAGTATATAAGGTTTCACCCTCTACAGCTTCAAAAACAGGCTTCGTCTCTTTCATATAGGATCATTTGAATAGAATATAAGGGAAGGGAACTCTGTACAAGATAACAAAAAAAAATAATAACTCTAAGCAGATAGTTATCCTTACTCTTTCATATGATAGGCAACAACTCCAAGTTCATTATACACAAGTGGATCTGAGGGACAAGTTGACTTGGCCTGTATAAAAAACTGAAACAATAGAGGAACATAAATTATTTCTTTAGGTAGTCAGTGATAGAAAATAGATCTTGTTTTTAAAGGCATTGAATCCTTGCCCCCAAGCTCCACACCCCCCACCCTCCCCTTCCACTTAAAAATAAAAAAGAGGCTTCCCTTCCTTGAATCTATCCAACTAAGTATATACCTGTTCTGCAAGCTTATAGCTGTGGGTCCGCATGCATTCCATTCCAATGTAAAGAGTTGGTAAGTGACACCTGGAATAAGAGAACATCAACATTTAACCTGAAAAAGAACAGTTTATTGAGAGAAGAAATAAGAGGATTTCATACAGAAGTTGGTAAACAAACAAAAGAGACCCGTACAGGCATGTTAGCGCCTATTGTAAGATTCACAACATTTAAATTGTGAACTTCCTTGTTCGATGGTGTGGGTAAGGATTTGTGCTAGGAAAATTTGTAGGAATTACGTCCTTATTCATAGAAGATTACGAGTCACTAAAAGTAAAAAATTTGCAATCTCGCAAAGGTAATATTAACCTTCCTTTAGCACTCAAGCCTTTTGCTGAAACAAATAGCTCAAAACTTTCAAGCAAAAAAATGCAACATTTTTTGTTAGAGTGTGATCATTGTAAGGAGGGTAGATGGATTCTGCAAGACTCATTCGAACCTCAAAGCTGGAGGTTTAGAGCTGACAAATGAGCAGTATTTTAAACCTAGTTTGGGCCTACACTGGACCAACACGACATTTTGGCCCTTTAAAAAAATAATTAATTAATTAAAAATAAATATATATTAATTTAAGTTATATTAATGAAATTATTTTTAATTTTAGATATATTACTTTTATTTTTAACTAAAAATATATTATTTTGTAAATCAAACTAACGCATAAATCTAAAGGTTGGCCTGCCTTATGCTTATTGAAGTTAAGAATTAAATAGACAAGACCAAAAATGGTCTGATTCAATATATGACACAATTTTTTGGTCTGACTTGATCCATTTTTTGAATTTTGAGTTCGGTCCATCAAGTCAAACCTATCAATCCTATGGAGGACCTCACCAAAGGCATCTGATACTCAAATTCAGACTACCTGGTTGAGGCTACCATCTAGCCAAATCACAATGCAAAGACAATTGTCATCTAAGAATCAGAGTAGTTTGAGATTGCCAAAGGAAAAAGAGCGATTTCAGTTTAAATGTCTAAAATAATTGAATAACCTTTAAAAAAAGCTAAAGAAGCAATTGTAGTAGAAGTATTAACAAAGTGGCTTTTTCCGCAACAAGCCTTATTTCTTCAACCAACAAACCTAACTAATAAACTAATCGGTACACATCATAATCGTAGGTTAATCTATACACAGAAAAGTGATAATAACACACTTCATAATACTTTTTTCATTTTCTGTCCTTCGCTTATAAATATGTATTAGATTTCTCAGCAACAGTTATTCTAATCTGACATTATTACTAAAGAAATTCACAAAAGAAAATAACGCATATTTGGGGGGTAACAAGAATATTTTAATAGGAAAAATCAATATCTTACCCAGGAAACAATCTAGCTGCAGTGCGGTAGGCTGACATAGCCTGATCACCTTCTTCTTGAGCAGCATAAGCATTTCCATAGCCTATCCATGCAGGGGGAAATGTTCCATCTAGACTAGTTGCCTTGCTGTAAGGTACAAGATGAAATTGTATAATATGCTTTTTAAGTAGATAACAGAAACTGTCAAGCAAACTAACACAAGAGATAAATACAATCAACTCAAACTTAACAAGCACAAAAAACAATTGAATCAGTCCAGACCAGGACCAATGAAGTATGCATTTCTGTACATCTGAGTTGATAACATGCCATTTAATATAACATATCCTCCTCTACTCGGGGAAAACATTCCTCAATAATAAAACAAATAGACACCCACATCAAATGTCATATATAACAAATTAACTTATGCTATGATGCATAATGAAATATAACATGGTTTGAGCATATTTTCTGAAATATATATATATATATATGTGTGTGTGTGTGTGTGTGTGTCAAACATAATTGACAAGGCAAAAACCAAAGAACCATGTTCCAATGATGATAAATTAATTAATAACATCAGCATTAAATGTTTTCAACTAATCATGTCTAGCAACCAAAATACGATATTCTTACCTAAAATATCGACGGGATTGATCATACTTCTTGATACAATAATAGTAGCAACCAACAGCAAACCATGATAAAGCCCTAAAACATAGTGAGATTTAATTATATCAAAGGCAACTACATATATTAAGCACAAGTCTAAATAAAGAATCATTCTTATAGGTAGCAAAATCATTGGAAGACAATCAGCATCATGGAAGAAGTGTTTACATCTGCGGATAATCCTTCACCAAATTGCATGCCATCAAATAGAGTTCATTTGAATGCCCAAGTTCAACAGCAGCTGCCAGATGTACTAACGTACACTTTAGATGGAAAAGATCCTTCTCAAGCAAACTGTAACAGAATAATTCAAGCTAAGTCAGGAAGAGAAAGAGAAGAAACGAGTGGGGATAGTGAATGATGCAAAAGGCCATAGCGGTATTTAAATCTCACTTGAGTCTCCAAGGTAATTACCCCACTTACACATATGTTAAGTCAAAACATTTCTGATATTCACCACACTGATGATAGTATTCAGCTTTGCAAGCCAATAGATCGGTATTGGATTTCAGTGAGCGCAAGAAAGAAGTATCAGATTGGTCACTTTTACAGCTTTCATTCTCAAGTTCTCTGAACTTGGCTTCTACAACATTTTCTTTGTCATACTGCATGACAAATAAGGCTTTATCTTTCAGCAGTACAAAACATTCAGATAGAAGCAAATTCTACTAGCCACCTGCCATTACCTTCTTTATCAGACAAGAATAAAATGATGAGAGCCATCCATCCTCACTACCAAATTGCAATGACGAGATCAAATTTGCTTCTGAAATTCACCATACAGAGGAAAGACATATTAGGATCCAGTTTAAACATCTCCAAGGGATAAGTGAAAATATTCTACCTTCCTGGCATGTAAGCATGTGATTCTCAATAAGACATTCCAAAGCCTGATATAATTATTGTCAAACAGGAAGGAAAAATTAGATAACTGTTAACTAAAGTACGAGAAAAAATATGCAAGTTTGTATGCCACAAATGATAGCTTCCCAAAAATGGTAATAATAAACTAAAGCATAACGAAGCCTGAGGGCTACTAGCTACAACTTACATTGTTCAATTCTACTTTAGAGAAACTATCATAACAAAAATAAACCCAGTTTCTTTAGTAATAGCTGTTATAGAAGTATATGTACTAGCACTATTTCAGCACTAGATTAGTGCCTAACTAGCCCAGGGTGGGTGGTGTTCTGTCAAGAATCGGAAAGCAATTGTCCCAACCAAGTGAGCACAGCTCACAAGACGAGACTTAGCATTACAAGATACTATTAATGAACTTACAAAAGACAGTAAGTAGAATATCAATACATACCTCATAACATAAAGGATCCGCTTTTATAGCAGCTTTATACCTTTAACAAAAATAAATACAGCAGAACAAGTGAGTTTATTATCAATGGCACACATAATACTATTGTAACTCTTCACACAAGCAGAGCAGCAAGCAATTATACTTCCTTATAATAAACAAAGAAAATTATTAAGGACCAGTGTGGATAAGGATATCAATCAGTATGTATAAGAGAATAAAATAAAAAGGTAAAATGAATCAACTTCTCTCAGAAGTTAAAATCAACTTGTGCATTTAAACTTTTCTTAAAAATCACTAATCCAATGCTGATGTGCACAATGTGATTTTAACTTATTGAAGATATTTTATTCATTTAGTATCTTATTTTCTTCCTCCATATGAATCTATTGAGGAGTTTATCCAAACTGACCCTAAAATCATCTCTTTCTATTTATCTAGAAGTTAGAGAGCAACAGTCAAAATGTCCCAAAAATACTCACCACAGTCTGGCCTGGGCACGGTTTTCTAAAGCCTCGTATGCTTTTCCTCTTAAGAAGCATATTGCAGAAGATATCTGATACAGCATAATCGAAAGTATTCCGATAACCAAAAAAAAAGTAAATAAACAACCTGCGTTTCCATTTTCCAAGAACTTCACTACTATATTACTATTCTAGCACGTAATAAAGCAGCAGAAGTAATTCCAAATTTAAATCCAGCATTAGAAATTTGGTGAATTAGGTGTGGCTTTTAAAGTAGTCATTGTAAACAAAACAAAAAAATCAAAGAATCTATTTCTGACTGATTAATAGTGTAAAAACCTTACATATATTATTTTCTGTAAGAAAAATAGAAAAAATTAAGAGAAAAAAAATGGAACTCACGTTGATTTCACGATCTTCACAATCTTTATCTAAGTACATAACATTTGAGTCCTTCGTATCAGAAACATTCCCCTCGTCATCCACTTTAGCCTCACCCAGCATCGAAAGGCACTGATCCCACTCCTTCAATTCTTCCTTCAGTTCCACCACCCGAACGTTAATAAACACCAATAAAAATTAATTAACGAAAACTATAAAACCTTCACCTACATCCCGAAAGTATTACACTATCTCCTAAACTGTCCTAAAGTAAGAAAAGTATCTGTTAAGGATCAACATAAAACCAATTGTTAATACGTGGAGTAGCTAAAAATGTATTTAAACCATACCAAATAAGTTAGGCTGCGACTTTTATGAAGAAATCCCCAAATATTAAAAACCACGTTAATTTGATAAGTATCGAAAAATCCATTTAAATTAGTCTTAGATGCAAGTTGAGTATAATAACTTAGACACTAAACTGATAGGTATTTAATTGAGATTATTTATATAATTTTATGACGGTCACTAATACTTCAAAGAACTAAATTGATGGTTTATTTTTTATAAATTTATTTATTTATTTATTTATTCAATCAATGAAATGAAAAACAAAAAATAAAACAAAAAATAGAAGAAAGTTTGAGGGCAATACGAGGCACTTGGCGGCGAGGTAGCGGAATCGGAGGTCGCTGAGGACAATTTTTGAAGCATTGAGGAGGTGGAAGGCGCGACGATAATGGCGGCCGAGGAAGAGCGCCTGCGCCTGCATGTAGATGTCAGCAGGGTCGGCGGTGAAGGCGGCGACTTTGTCGGCGAAGAAGATGGCGGAGGAATAGAGGTGCTTGCTCACGCAGTCGCGTACAACTCCTCGGAGCTTCTCGATCTCTTCCTCCCTCATATTCGTACTCACTTCACTCTTTCACTCACTGCTAGGGTTTCGGTTCTTCTTCGTTTGTTTGGTCTCTTTTCGTGGCTTCGTGGTTCGGAGGCCAAATTGAAATATAGAAGGGAGGGAAGGTTTTGTAGCAATATTTAATTTGCTTTTCAAATTAGTAATTAGATTTTAAATTTATGCGTAGTTTGATTCGTCAAATATCCGTTGTAGTCTAGTTGGTCAGGATATTCGGCTCTCACCCGAAAGACCCGGGTTCAAGTCCCGGCAACGGAATTGCATTTTTTAAACTCATTATTTTTTATCACCAAAACTTGAAAAATATTGGATCTTTGCAATGATAGAGGACCTATTGTCAAGAACCCTAAATAATCAATACCATCAATTCAGTTTTTGAATGCCGACAAAAGCTAAAATGGATCTAAATTGGCATGAAACACCAAATACCTAGTATATACTTAGAATGAATATATAATAACTTTCCATGGAAAGTGTCACTTCTATTCCTTTCCCTTGTTTTTTCAAGCATACTTTTTCTCCAATGGGGTCCCCCTTGCCAACAGCCTTATGAACCAGAAACCAAATAGGAAAATCCAATGATGGTACCCACTCTTGACCCCCCGGTCCCACCGTGATTTGCTATATTCTCCTACTCACTCCTCTTTATGAATGAATATGGAGATAGAACCATTTCCATTAACCTGTGTGTGTGCAACACCTCGTGTGTGTTGTCCTTCTTTACCTCAACAACTAGTTTCAATGTCTGAGTCTGAATTAGCCTCTTCTGATCAATCTCCACCCTCCTCCACATCAAGTCCAACCATTCAAATCGTCTCTAAGTCCTTCTCTGAAAGGCTCATGGGGAAATTCTTTGATGCCACTCAGTTTGATTTTGTGTATGAGCAAAGTGGCCTGTGGTCTCCCCCAGTAAGAAGGACTGTGTTCTTGGCCTCACCGGGTAACATTTGCTCTCAAGATGAAATGGTGAGGAAGCTCAAGAAGGCAAAGAAGACATGGAAGAGACCCATGCTTTGCTTCTTCAATGTATGCACTCGCTTTTCTGTTCTTTTCATTTGTTTCATGTCTTGATATTTCTCTATATTAGTCTAACTTACCCCAGATAAATAACAGTGTAATAAAACAACTAGAGTAAATTATTGGTGTGTATGTAATTCTCTTATATACTTGAACATTTACACCGATCATTTACTGTGATTATTTAGTTACCTTTATTTTTAGTGTGAAGGGTCTAGTTTAGTGGTTAATATATAGTAAACTCTTTCACATCAGTTTATGGTAAAAATAATCATTTTTAGTTCATTAACCCAGATAAATAACCTCCCTATTTATGTTGAATTGAATTATACAGTAGTAAGTTATGAGAGAGGAATAACCTTGACATGATGCTTATGACTCTTTTTCAGGTCTTTTGGAGCTCTTGAAGTTGATCATGGCAGCTACTGCATAAAGTTCATATGCCAACCATCCCTTATGGGATAAAAGTCGTGTTTGTCTCAGAAAGAATATATATATATATATATATATATATATATATATATATATATATATATATATATATATATATATATATGTGTGTGTATGATTCGTACTTTTCATTGTGCATGTGGGTACTTGCAAGATCTTTGCCATGTTACCACAAGTCTTGTTGTCCCAACTTTGTTTCACGATGCAATATTGGTGTGTATGCTAACTTGTTCATCTCAAAGACTTAAACATATATAAAATCGTTCAATTCACGTGGATGCGACAAATTATTGACAAATTGTTTATCAATTTGTGTTGTAACTTGATAATCTATATATAACCTTACACATAAAATAATGCTTTGGCAAACTTTTTTTTATCTACATTCACTTAAATAATATATAAATTTTCTAAGGGTTAAATAAGTTTTAAGTTCATATATATTACCGATGTTTGTTTTGAATATTTTGTAAATACTTTTTGAAAATTGGATATCTAGTAATTAAAAAAATTGTCTATGTATTCATTGAGTTGAAACAATCATTATGCATTTGTTAATCAATTATCACTTTATATATCGCGTTGGAAAAACAATATATTAAATTTCTTCTGGTACTTTTACGTCTTTATATAAAAGAAAATAATTGTTATAATAAAAATGTAAGTTGATAAAAAAACTAAAATTCTTTCATAAATTTATTAAAATAGTCAACGTAATATTAAAAAATAAATTCAGATAATGATTATTTTTAGAGACTTAAACCAGAATTTTATTTTCATATGTTGAAAATACTGTCAAACTTTTTGTGTTTTTTTATCTTATACCACTAAGGAAAAACTCGTCATGTTTATAAAAAAAATCATTTCTAATCGCACAAATTATTTGTAACAATGAGATAGTTTTTCATATCCTATGCTCATGTGATTATTGTGAAGTATATATATATATATTAGTATTATATAAGTTATAATTATGAAATGGGTGGTGGGTTAGTCTACCTCAAATAAAAAATTGGGATAAACTATCTAAATGTCAATATAAAATTATTTAAATTGGACTATTAAAACATTTTCCTTTGATAGTTCAATGTGTGAATTATCTAAATAATAAAATAAAATTATATTAATATTCAATGTGTGATGTAGTTTAATATATTAAAAGTCAAACCTATTTTATCCTAAATTTTATATAACACGTTAGTTTAGGTTTTTTTTCTTTCATATATATATATATATATATATATATATATATATATATATATATATATATATATAATAATAATAATAATAATAATAATAAGCAATATTAATTAAGTTATATTAATGGATTAACAATTCTACTTTTTCAATTAAATGAATTTTTCCAAAATAATTTTATATTTTCAAAGTATGAACATTTGTTTTATTAGAATACTATGTTAAAATAAATTATCAAATAATAAATAAAACGATAATTATATACAATTATGTTATTATAGTGTTCAAATAAATTATCTCGTCTTATGATTGATTCAACAATTTGATTATGACGCAAATTTTTCTTTCATGGGTGTGATTCCACAAATCATTTACAAAATTATGATTTATCATCATAAATCTTATATAGCAAGAATAATCTATTTAATAAATATAATAACATAAATTTTGATCTTGACCTAAATATTCTAGATTCAAATAAGAACAACCCATTAAAAAGGGTCTTCGAATTAGGTTACAACCAAGTTTATTAAATAAGAAATATAATTTATCAAAATTTTGGATTTTTTGGAGTAATATCTGGCGTCGTATGTGAAAAAAGGTAAAGTTTTTCTTATTGGAGGAAAGGGAAAAAGTTAAGAAGAATAAGAGGAATAAGAAACCTATGTGGAAAGATAATAAGCAAGAGAAATACTTCCACTAAAAAAGAAAACATCAATAAATCTTCGATTTGATTGATAATGACTTGATAATTGATTTAGAAAAAACGGTAAGCATACATATATTCATGAATTCAAGTACCAAATTTTTGTGAGCACTATACAAGCATCACCAACAAGCACACGATAAATTTGTGTAGAAAGCAATCAAAATTGTGGGATTATTTTTCATTTCCAATATAAAATTGGAGGATGGTAGGGGACTTGATTATTTGAAATGTGAATTTGAACAAAGTATCCTAGGACATATATGTTAAAGATTATGAGAGACTTAGGGTTGATCTTCAGACAAGATTTTTGCTTTATGGAAGTAAAATACTGATTAACAAAAGTTGTTGCCAATGAATCAGGGACTAGTTTTATCCATATTAAGGGTATGATATTTTAAGCAATTATGTTAGAAGAGGTGCATTGATTATTATTTAAGTGTGTGCTGATTATTATTTAAATGTGTGTTAATCATTATTTAAATGTGCAATGGTAACTTACATCATTTTGTTCGACGAGATTCATTTTAAGATTTTTGACATGATAACTCTTTGAGGTCAGACAACTCTACACAATGACCAAAAAATATAACAATAACTTACTTTGATTAGTAGTACAATAGCTGGACTAAGTGACTTGACACAATATTATTGTCAATTACCTATCTAAACCTCATCATTTGTGATTTGAAGTTGGAGGCTATGTGGTGTCTAAATGAAGGGTCTCAGTGTAATAATGCGATCATTTGACATATTTAAGCATCATCATTTTTGACTTGAGGTTGAAGAGTTATGTAGTGTCTGGATGAAATGTCTTATCCTATAACCCAATGACAACATAACAACACGATCATTTGACCTACCTAAGCCTCATGGTTCATGACTTGAGGCTGGGAGTTATGTGGTGTCCGAATGAAGGCTCTCACCCTACAACTAAATGACATCATAATAATGTTGTCATTGACTATGACTTGAGATCGAAAGATTGTGTAGTGTCCAAAAAAATTAGCTTATCGTATAACCGATCCAACGATTCGATCACGACGCTAACTTCTTTTACGAGTTTGATTCTACAAATCTTGCCCAAAATTGTGATCTATTATAAGTTTCACATAACATGAATAAGTTATATAATGACCATGATAACAAAATCTCGAACCATAACCCAAATATTTTATATCCAAAGCAGAATAATTTAATAAAAAGATCTTAAGATTAAATTACAACCAAATTTACTAAATAAAAAATATAGTTGATCAAATTCTATAAATTTTTTGAGAGCATCAATATTAAATAATAAATATATTATTTATTTAAATTACAAAAAAATTGTAATTATCTTAATTTAGAATGTTTTTTATTATCTTAATTATATATTTTTATTTTTTTAGTATTAACTTAACCATGTTAATAATAAAGATTAATATTAAAAATAAAAAATATGAGAAATTTAAAACTAACAAATATTTTTACTAGGATAAAAACAAAAACAAAAAAATTAATAAATATCTGAAATAACAAATAACATAAAGTTGCACTTTTCTAATTCAATTTAAATAATAAATACAATTTTTGAATAACATCACAACTGATTAAATTATTGTTTTAAAACATTTTTGTAGAAAATGTAAATGAATTGAAAGTGTCTATCACACATTCCCTCTTCTGTGAGAGATCATGCAAACCTACTCAAAATAAGAAGAGTATGTTTAAATTTAACGTAGTATACAAAACACTAGAGTCAGAAAAGTGGAAGGACCAAACGCCAATGGCCACTTCGAAACCCGTATCCCCATTCCGACTCTCCTCCCTCCTCCGCTCCCAGAAAGACCCCTCCGTCGCCCTGCAACTCTTCCTAAACCCAAACCCTAACCACCCCTCCCCTCGCCCCTTCCGCCACTCGCTCCGCTCCTACGACATCCTCATCACCAAACTCGCTCAAGCCAAAATGTTTCCCCAAATGGAACAACTCCTTCACCAACTCCACACTCAAACGCGCTTCCCCACCCCCGAACCCCTCCTCCGCCACGTCATCGCCTCCTACGGGCGTGCCCGCCTCCCCTCGCGCGCCCTCCGCACCTTCCTCTCCATCCCTTCCCCCTCCCTCCGTTCCTTCAACACCCTCCTCCACGCGCTCCTCGCCTGCCGCGACTTCCCCTCCCTCACGCGCCTCCTCCCGCACCTCCCCCGCTTCGGCGGCCCCGACGCCTGCTCCTACAACATCCTCATCCGCGCGTGTTCGCTAACTGACGACCATGCTCGTGCGCGGAAGCTGTTTCACGAAATGCGCGCTCGCGGCGTTCCACCGAATCAAATCACGTTCGGTACTCTGATTAACATGCTCTGCAAAAAGCCCCTCCTGCACCTGCCCCAAGCGTTTAAGGTGAAGGAAGACATGGAAAAGGTTTTTAAAATTAAGCCTAATGTTTTCGTGTATACTAATTTGATTAAAGCTGTTTGTGAGGTAGGGGATTTTGATTCCGCGTTTAGGTTGAAAGATGAGATGGTGAGGAACAGTTTGAAGCTTGATGCTGTGGTGTACAACACTTTGGTTTCCGGGTTTTTAAAAGTGGGAAAGAAGGATTTGGGGTTTAGGATTTTGGAGGAAATGAAGAGTGACGGTGTGAAGCCTGATTCTGTAACGTGTAATGTACTGATTGGGGAGTTTTGTAGGGAGGGGGATTTTGAAGAGGCTTATAAGGTTTTGGATGATGGATTAGAGGGTGTGAAGCCTGATGTTTTTGGCTACAATGTGGTTATTGGTTGGCTGTGTAAAGAGGGAAAATGGAGGGAGGCGGATGATTTTTTTCGGGACATGCCACGGCGGGGGTGTGTTCCTGATGTTGTGACGTACCGCACGGTGTTTGATGGGTTTTGCCGGTGTATGCAGTTTGAGGAAGCTGGATTGGTTTTGGAGGAGATGATTTTTAAAGGCTATGTTCCGTGTTCCTCCAGTTTGAATGAGTTTATTGGCAGGTTGAGCAAGGATGGGGATTTTGAGTTGCTAGGGAAGGTTTTGAGTGGTTTGGGAGGTGAGGAATTTAGCTATGAGGATGTGTGGAAAACTGTCGTTTCATTGGTTTGTAAGTCTGAAAAGTTGTTGGGAGCTTTTGAGCTTTTTGATGAATTGATCTTGGCGTGAATTCTAGATTTGAATGCCTGCACAATGTGAGATTCCTGCAAAATACATATTTTCAGGGGATGACCTGGCTCTCCAAATCCTGCCAACCATTGAACTAAGGGTTTCATTATCGAGCTATACCGGAGAGGTGAATCTGTAGTCCACAAAGCGAAGATGAATATCCATGAAGAGTAATTGCAACCAAGTTTGAAAAGCTTGGAGTATTGTGTTGGACACCTTTTGTTGAAGGAGATATGCTAATTGAGGCCTTATAAGCTCCCCTTCCAAAAAAGGGTCATTAAGTCACCCATTCTATTATTTGTAGATGCTCCCAAACCAGGAGGTAAGTAGCTTCAACCCTCAAAATTATTGTGGCTTTTGCATTATACTTTTAATCCAACAGTGTCTGTTGATTTGATTTCTATAGGATAAAGTGCATGAGATGCATCTAATGGTGACTAAAATAATTTGGACATGATTCATAGGGCATGTTCATCTTCACCTGCCAAAGACTTAAAACCATCAGAGCCCTTATAAACTTATCCATGTTCATCTTTGCTATTGCCATTGTCATCTTCCCCTTCCACTCAAGCTCTGAAACCAATTGTTGCAAAGGGTTTTTCAGAGTAAAGTAGAGGAGAGTTATAGAATTTAAGAGAAGTTAGTTATATCTGAAGAATGGATTATTACACGAGTGTTGCTTCTTATATACAGAAAATAGCTTGTAACTAACAAGTAACAAAAGAACTAAATCTAGCTGACTAATAATTTAAGTTCAATATACAACAGACTATAGAAGTTATACGAGTAGGGCAAATTAAGCAAACTGCTTTTTGAAGTATGATGAAAATTGTTCACAATTTTGCCATCTAGAGTGTGAAACGTGATATGAGATCTACTTTAAGTAATGCCCCAAAAATAAGGTTCAAAGGGAACAAATGAAGGACTCCATATGCTTCAGTTATGGAAATTCTTATCTGCTTAGTTATACAAGACTGGGCTTTATATGTTGAAATGCTTAAGAGATATCAACAAAGTTTAGGCCAGATCACTTGTAAAGAAAGGGTTATTGTTCTTTCTAGGGTAAGCATTAATATGCTTATGTAATTCAATATTTTAGAAGTTGTAAACTACTTGGACCAAGGTATTCCCTGGAGAACTGATAAGAACTCAATATTTACCACATTTATTAAGGAAGCTAAGTCTGTTTCTTGTTTTGTGCGTAGTTATAAAACCTGAACCAATTGGGACTCGGTGGATAAATCGGGCCTTGTTGATAATTGGACTACATATGTATTTGACTTGAACCAGATTGACTCAGTTGAAAATCTTGATTAACCCGGTCTACGCTGATATTTTTAATATTTATTGTATATATCTTTTCAACTTGTGTAAGGAGTTGCGTTATTTACTTTTTATTGGTGGATTGTCTTGTTATTAAGACCTTTATTTTGGATTCGAGTTACTTTTATCTTATGGTTTTTTAAATTTGAACTATAGAATCATATTGTCTTGAACTTTATCTGGTATTTCATATATTAATACTTTATTATGATAAAAAAATTAATTTAGGTTAAATTTATCAAATTATGTTAGACATATCTTTAATACTCGCTCTAGTCCTTAATCTAAGACATTTCTAATAGTATACAGATCAATATAACTAAATAATGTTAGTTGAATTTTTAAAAGAATGTTACCAATATACAAAATTAACCTTCATTATTAATGAGTTTTTCAAAATTCTCTTTTTACTTTTCATTTATATATATAACACAAATACTCATAATATTTAATAACAGTAAAAAAGGAAATTAAATATAAAGTTGTTTAAAAATGTTAAAATAGATTATAAAAAGAACAAATAATTTCTTCTAAAATTTGAGTTATAACATGAACTGAAAAAAGTTCTTTTTTGTTAATATGGACCAGGTCAATCAATAAGTCAGTAGTCTAACTATTAATAGTGTTTTAACATGGTAAATGACAATAACTATTTCACAAAATTGGTTTTGAGCCAACACAATGATAGTTCAGTTTGCTTTCAATTGATGGTTCTTTTTCCAATTAAAATTTTAGAAAATATGGCAAATAGGATGTGTTTTAAAGGATGAAATACATGGACTCTAGGAACAGTTTTAAGTGTACTTATATTTTAATTTTAATTCCTAAAACAGTGATAGATTGATTGTTATTTTTTTACTCTTATTCATTTTATTCATCTCTTATTTATTTTTATTCACCATTTTATTTCACTAGTATATTTTTCCTCTAAACCAAACTTACTTAAAGGTTGAGGGACTATAGAAGAAAAATATCAACCATTTCATCAAAAGTTGGAGTTTTTTTGTGTAACTTATAGAAAAAAATGAAGAATGAGGATAAAATGTTTGTGTTTCATGTGTTACAAGATAGATAGACAAATTAACTACTTCTTGCTGTCAGAAGCGACTGATCTCAAGGCTGGGGGAGTTCTTTGTTGTCAAACAGAAACTTTAATCTGTTTTTTTTTTTTTTTTTCTCATTTTGAATGTATATCATTTGATTTAATGCATTTGTTGTGGATGTAATGAATATTGGACTAATTTATTCGACTAAATCATGGTTAGTATGCTAAGAAGAATTCATTGTGATATGTGGAAGGTGAGGGACCAAATGACAAGATTTATATAATTATATCATAGTTAAATTATTTTTTGATGTTTTTAATTATTTGATCATTTTTAATTAAATCTCAGTCATTTTTTGATTTGGGGTAACCATTTGGGTCTCTTAATAGTTTGAAAATTTTGGTATAGAAGTCTAGACTTCCTGTTATTTACATACATTTTGTTTTTTTTTTTGTTAAACTTTCTATATTTTGTATGAAAACTAAAAATAATATTTCATGTTAAAATGTCATGTTCCTTTGAAAAGAAAATTTTTACGGAAATGATCCTTAATCAATACAAACTATCTTATAATTTTTTTTTTGTTTTTTTATTTTAAACTCAACTGTTCCACTAGAATAATTGAGTACTTTTTATATTTTAGAACTAATTTTAATGAAAATAATTTTATATGGAGCAAAATCAAGATACACGTTCAATTAAATTTAGTCACAGCTTTTTTATTAATCTATATCAAGTTACACAATTGATTACAAACATTAAAGAGTTAAATAAGGTTTTTGTTTTTATATTTTTTATAATAATTGATTTTGATCTTTGTATTTAAAAATTGATGAAATAATTCTTAAATTAAACAAAAATAGTTCTTTTAAAACTTGTGACAGTAAAAAATTATTTATTAAATATTAAGTTTAAATATAAAAAATAAATAAGATCATGAACTTTTTGGATTTTGTCATTATAAATATCATTAAATATTAAACTTTAACTATAAAATGAATAAAATCATATGTTTTCAAAAATTAGATTAAAACCAAAATATATTTATCCCAAAATAAAATAAAATAAAAAGATGGTTAAATCCGATAGTTAAGTAGGCGATCTAATTAGTCGTGGAGATAAGATATTAACAATAATAATCAAATAAAATGTACTCTTGTAAAACTTAAACTAAATCCAGTAAAGGCATAAATTTGTGTAATATAAGAAAATTTTAATTTAGATGTACAGAATTGTACTTATATATTTAATATTTTTTATACATATTATATTGTATTATTTTTTTAGAATAATTGTATTGCCGTGTTATATACGCAGAGTATGATTTAGTGTTTCTGCGTGTGAAATGAAAAGTAGAGAAAATTAAATTGAAGTGAAGCAGTATAACATGAAAAGAGTTGAATTAGATATTTTCTAGATGGAAACGACTTAATAATACAAGAGAACGTGAGACTATTTTCATATATTAGAAATTTTTCTTATTTATAAGTACTTCCTTTTTTTATTTTTTCCAAGTTTTTTATTTGTAACCAATGTTAGACTTCACTCAAAATCTCAGTGAGGAAGAAGAAGATTCTTCATCGACAAAAATGATAATGCAGCAACAAACAATCAAATCAATTGTTTGTATATCAAACAAATAATAACCATAGGCCTGTTTTTCGTTTCTTTTACTATTATTATGGTCCTCAAACTTATAAAATTGTTTTGGGGAAGAAGGCATATATCATATTTCTTGAAGGCATTAATACTATATTGAATCAATTCTCCCCTCCTCAATTATTCCACGTCTTACACCATGCAACTTTGTTAACGTGTGCTTTAAGTTATCCACAAATTAATAATAATAAATACATCGAAATACTCATTAAAAAAAATCCGCACAATTATTTTTTTTAAATTATATATCTCCTTAAATATAAATTGATTCACATAAATTTATCCAATAATTACAAAAAATGTTACTAATAACTTTTAAAACGTATTATATTAAAAAATATTTTGTTTAGTAATTTAAATCCCTCTAGTCTAATAGCATTATTTTTCATTTTTTTTCTTGAATTCAATTATATAGTTGAAGAACAGTGCTTTATAGTGAGTTACATAGTCCTACATTCACTATGTCACTGTGTCATAAATTTCCTCTTGTCACATTACATTAAATGCATAATATTTTTTATTTTAATATTTATCCTAAGCAATAAGCTTCTAACCACATATTAACTAACTCACAAATTATTAATAAACACATGAAAAATATAAATTACTCTTAATATAAATAAGATTTATAAGCTCAAAAAGTTGCAAAACCAATTTTTTCTTTTTTCATTTTTACCAAGTGTGATATTTAAGTGTTGAAGTTATGTCATCGAGTGACATACCTTGGCCTACATTAATCATGTCACTGTTTTCACAGCCACATAAAATAAAAATTGAATCTTTTAGTCAGAGTCCCCACTCTATCACAATGATGTTGGTTCGTACCCATGACTTTTAAAGGAAAACACCTACCCTCACTATTTTTCTCTAAGTTAATTCGATCTAAACTTTCCACATGGCCTAAACGTGACCGAGTACGAAACACAAAAATTGACCCACAGTAGTTTTTCTTAAAAAGATCCCATCTTTATCAAAATAATTTGAAAACGCCACTCATATCACACAAAACTTTCCACATATACCATCCCAACAACACACACCAACCTACTTCATTACTTTCTTTATTAAATATTGATAATGGTTGGAGGTAATGTAATTATACACTTTCCATGAATCACAACCTTGTTTTATTAGACACGAAACCCTTTTTTAAATATTCTTTATTTTATTTGTAGGGTTCTATGCAAATCTAGCATGAATCCCAACCCTTCTTCACGAGACATTAAAACATTTTTAAATAAGTCTAATCATTTTGTTAGGTTTATATATAAAAGTATGATTTTGATGTTTTTATCTTATTAATATTTAACACAAATGTAATAAAAATATGACATTTTATTGTTTTGTATAAAACAATACATATATAGAATTTAGTAAACTATAAAAGATAAAATATTGCAAAGTTATTATTTAAATAATATATTTTATTAGATCAAACTTTAAAAGAAAAATTAATTTAATTAACATGAAGAATAAATAAATAAAAGTATAATTAAGGTTTTACAAATGTTGTCTTTACATGCACCTATGACCGACCTAATTGAATAAAGTTGGTATGATGTGGGACCCAACATAATAACAGGCTTTCAATTCATTCATCACCCCAATATTTAAAGCTAAAATAATATCGAAAGATAATTAATTACTTATTTTAAAAATTAAATATAAAAACTTAACGAGTTTATAAAATCCTCTGAAAATCTTATGAATGTCCTTGTGAACTATGTAAAAGATTAAATTTGAATACTCTTAATGAGGGAATAATGACTATTTTGTGTCCCTTTAAAGGCATCCAAGGCAATGAAAAATAAGAACAAAACAATATTTCTTTCTAAAAACATGTTCCACTTGTTTTAAAATTTTTTACTTAATTGGAAATTGTGCTGTTTGAGTGAATCATAAAAATAGCTCACAAATCCATAACATCATTATTTCTTTCTGTCGACCAAGATTAGCTACTGCCAATACTGCACTTGGTATAAAATAATCCATCATTTCCACCAGTATAATTTTACTCTTAAAACAGTGTATAAAGATCATGTTAATGACAACAGCAAAAAAAATAAAAATAAAGAGAAGAAAAATAAGAAGTTATAGAGAGGACAATAAGATTAGAAGCAACATTATTATGTACATAACATATGCAATGTCTAGTAAAGATGGATTCCAGCTAGACCATCCCTGCCACCGGCCTAATATCAACAAAACTTGGGGGCAAGCATTTGATTAATTAATAAACTGCATAGTAAAAGAAAACCATTCTGAACAAAAGGACACTTCCCAATGCAACGGTTCACGCGCTTCCTTCTCAAACTGGCCAAAATACAAATGGACAAGAAGATGCCCCCATTGAACCATGGCAGAGGGGGGAGTCCCCACAACCACAGCCATGCACTACACAGGCCATGTCCCTCCCAAAACTTCAACTCAGAACATTGGTTTCCACTTCAACAACCTATTGCATGGTGGGGTCAACCACTGATCAAAACACCACTTGTTGCTACTAATACTATTGCTACTACCTGTTTTGCTTTGTGGATGATGATTTTTTTACTTTGCCTTGGTGCTGTGAGAGGTAGACTTGGCACTGTATTACAGTTTTACCAATCCTAAACCCTGGAACTACAGTGAAAGCAACTTGTGGCTCAGATTCCACTGCCATTTCTTCATCATTTTCATTCACACTCTCCATGTAGACATCAGAGAATCTACACCCCTTCCCCACTTGAAAGATTGAAGCTTGAGGCTCAAAGGAAAAGGCCAAGCAATGTAGGAGCCAGACCCTCTTGGCCATCTCGGCAAATGAGGTGAAGAAGTTGGTGTCAGGAAACTCTCCAGCATTCAGCAGGTTCCTCTGATTCAGGTTGCCAAAGAATGATGCCTCCATCTTGGGATGAACAAGTCTCAGGAACTTGACCCTGCAAAATTTTGCAAATGGTGACCTTGGCTTCCCTGCCAGAAAGTCCTTTGCTTTCACAGATTTTAGCTCATTGAACCTCCCAAAGAACAGTTGCCTCTTGCTCCTATCTGGTAGAGACTCATTGGGTAGGGAGAAGTTAGGGAAGTTGAAAGAATCAAACATCTCCCTACACACAAAGGACTCAATTGCAAAACACCTGTGATCTTCTTTCCAGTAAGCCACATTTTGCTCAGTAATGGCATTGACTGAAGCATCAATATCCCAACATGCAGATCTCATCTCATTCACTAACAATTTCACAAAGTTCCGAATGGACCTAACCGTGTGGCGAAGAACAGTAACAAAATGGCTAGGACTTAATCCCGACATGTGGAGATTGTCAAGAACCGATAATGATCCACTTTGATTTAACCTCTTCTCAATTGTTCTGTTCTGCATGTTAGCTTCCGCTAGCTTTTCTCGGAGAAATAAAATCTCGGATTCCTTCAGCCGAGCCTGTGCTTCTAACTTCTCTCCTGTGATCTCAAATGTTTTGTTGACACTCTCTAGTTCCTTCAATTTAGCTTCAAGAATTGCTCTATCTGGTGAAGGATCAAATTGCTTTTTAAAGAAACATTGCTTTAGCTCAGACAAAGTCTTAAACTCTGAGACTATCAATTGATCAGCAGCTTGAATTACATCAGGGTCATAGGGAGACTGAGCATGCTGTAGCTGAGCATATGAAGCTTTCACAGTTGATATGCTAGCAAAAGTATTTGCAAGCAAAGCTTCTGTGGCCTTTATGTTCTGAAGTTCTTCATCTTCTTTGTTTATAGTTCTCTTACACATATTTGCTTCATTGTTGAGATCTGCATCCACTTTCAGTCCATCAACTGGTGCAATTCCGGTCACTGCTCTAACGTGAAGAACTTTGGCAAAAGTGCGAGCCAACTTGCTCTTGCTTGACGCCACTGCTGATGGCTTAACAGATTCCATCTGCAGAAACATTACAAAATTGCAAATGAGGGTGAAAATAGAGAAGTGTTTAAAAAGACAACAAGGGCAATAAAGTCATAACAATGGTGGTCATGATGAATATGTTTAGAAAAAGAAAAAAGCATTATGCTTTAATGCTTAGATCGAGGCCTTTAATGGAGGCTGGAACTTTTCTTTTTGTTCTTCATCTATAAAAGTTTAATGCTTGGCAACTTTCAAAGACGGCAAAAAGACTTATAACCAAGCATTTTTAGAAGACAAGGACCCTAAAGAATAAAGAATGAAGGACATGATCAAAAGATGCATTAAAATTTAGTTATAGTATATTCACGTAACACTAGGCATCATGTCCAAGGTGGCAATTAGCAACGTGAATATAAATGAAACCATGGTTTTAAATGTCCAGCAAAAGAAGAAAAGATAATTCAGTAATTCAACCGACTTAAGAAAGTGTACATTATTTTTTTTTTTTTTATAAAAGAAAAAAGAAAGCTTCAAGCCAAAATTTATCACCAACTCAGCCAAAGATACATGGCCCTTATTTCTTTCTGCATATATTATTGTTATTTTGTAAGTATATCCAGCCTTGTTTAGTTTCCACTAATTTCGGTTCAAAGGGCATAATAGAATTGGCCCATCAGTCAAATTAGTCAGAACTTATGTATAAAGTGGTTAGATTAATAGTTTGCCTATTTTCAGTATTGATTGATTATGAAATTAAAAATGATTGCAGCCATAATCAACACTATTCCTATTCACCTCCCATGTTTACAAAGGAAATCTCGGTCAAGAAATATGCATAACCTCAGATGAATAGTTAAATCAAAAAGTAAATTCCAGTGATCTACCTTTGTTGGACAATCATTTCATGCTGCTAAATGATATTTTAATTATGAGTATTTCAGTAACCATTATAATACTGACAATTAATTTTGTTCCTTTTGATATACATATATATACTCATCCGATTCATAACCCCCATAGGATTCCCTGAATTCTTCACATTCAACATGTACAAGATCAGGCCTAGCAGTAACTCGGTAGTGTCTGCAATATAGGACACATTATCAAAGTGAATATCTGACATGGAACTTTTGAATTCACTATGATGACAATGAGAAAAACGTATCAACCCCATGAGGCATCATCCAATCACTATATGGTAAAAGAGATACCTATCCCCACCTCTCACTGTTCCTAGAATGACCCTCTAGCCTTTCTCAAATGCAATTAAGAATCTACCCCAGCTGTAGTTCATAAACATCATATTCAATAAAACAACAGCAATTAATTCAAAAGAAATACAGACACTAATGAAATGACTGTACTTCAAAGCCTCATACATCTTCTAAACATTATAATGTGTTTGGTTTTCTGGTCCAAGCCTCAAGGAACGTTGAAATCACTCACTTGGCATTGGTGTTCAACGGTAAAACAACACACCCTTACTCTTCCTCGTGACTAAAATCACAGTATGAAAACTGTATATCTGAAAGGTAAAAAACACTATACAAGAACAACCATCACTTTTTCACACCCATTGACTCCTTACCCCCACTTGTCATTTCAACATCCACTACACAGACATTCACATGACTGGTATTAAAAAGTCAAAACTATACAATATTAGATTCTTTAGTGCTTTCAAAATCCACCAGACACAGTACATGTTACCTTAAGAGAGCACAACACTAGACCATGGGGCCTCAAAAACATTAACCCAGTTCCTTATTTCATCCAAAAAATACCAACCTCGTCCAGCAGTCCACAACAAACAAAATTCGTTATAGCTGCTAGAGACCTAGCATTAACCATGACATCAACAGCTATAAACATCAAACAAAAGCGCCAAATCAAAGCATCTTTATGGTTCTCTTCTGGCAATCAAAATCACAACTTTTATGTTTCCCACTAATGGCTACAAGCCTACAACCACAAGTCCCTTTTATTATTGACGGATGTTATACCCAGCTAAAACACTAAGCAAATCAAAATCCAGAAGGATTAAAGTAAAATGATAAAATTAAGAAAAAAATCCAACAAAACCAAACATTAACGGCTTAACCATTAATTTGACAAGCCAAGGGATTTCATTTCACTGTACCTTAAAAAATCTTCCGATAAACAAGGAGAGAACTAGTGTGTTAACTTCTCCTCATAGTGGAACGTAAATCTCACGAAAACAGAGACAGAACAGAACAACTCAAATATATGATGCTAAACTATATCGTTTCTCAAAGCGCTAACTTCAAACACCTGCAAAACCAAACACCCTTCGTAAGGAAAACCCACCAAAAAATAAGAAAACTAGTTTATATTCATTTCCTCAAAAACACTAAAAAAAAGTTGAGAATAAAAACACCCGAAAGGCCAAAAAAAAGTGAAGACATACAACCGAGTTAATATAAACTGGTAAAGTCAAAAAATGGTCACCAAAACGTGTTTGCAACAAAAAAACGCGTTAAAAAGATAGTATAAACACCGACTTTACATTTTACCTTCGAACGGGTAGCACCAAAAGTTTATGTTTTTTATTAAGTTTCTGTCTTCTCGTCGATATAAAGAGAGGAAACGGAAACGGAAACGGAAGCAACCAATAGCGAATAAACAAAAAACAACCGATAAAAAAAAGTTTAATTCCATAATGAAGTTTCTTATGAAGTTTCCTCAGCTAACCTGAACAAGAAAAATGAACGAATGGTAGAAAAAAACTGAAAATGGCCCACTAAACCCTTTGGTCCAATCTCTTCAAAGACTGGCTCTTGTTATTGTGTTGTGTGATTGATTCCCTTGTTTTCTTCTTCTGTCTTGGTTTCTTTTTCTTCCCTTAGAAAACCTCGTCGCTGGGTTTATGGGCTGTTTATTGTTTGTGTGTTTCATTTTTATTTGTTTATATTTATTTAGTAGCGTCACTTTCGCAGTGGCAGAGACAGAAATACGATTGCTGTAATGGAAGAGAGAGGAAAAGAAATCTAGAGAGAGAGTGGGGAGGAGAGAGAAAGTGAGCGTGATGACGAAAAGGGACAAGGGTTGAGATATGTTCAGAGATGACAATACTCGGCATTGGGAATTTAAAAGGCCGCAGAGTGTCGTGTCGCTTTCGGTAATTTTGAGGCTGTTTTTATGCCCTTCGAGTACCGCGGTTTTACGTGTTGCGTTCCTGGGCGGGAAGGGTAGGATTGGAATTTCGCAGTTATGATAGTTCCGTGTGCATAAATAAAAGACTTGGAATTTGGAAATTCCTTGTTTTAAAATATTCTAAGATAAATTAATTGCATCAAAATAAGATATTATTAGTGATTTGTTTGTTACATTCTCAATCTATTATTATTCTGTTACCATAATCATGTTATAAAATGATTTTTGCTTTCATTTTTATCATTAAATATTTTTTATTTTTACTTTACTTTTTCTATTTTTTCATCAAACATTTTTTATTCTCATTTTTTTCTTTTATTTTTTCTTTTTACGAAGTGGAGGGTGATTTTGGTTTCTTATGGTAGGTCAGCACCTGTTTTGGTTTCTTATATTTTCTTAGATTTGGAATACCTTTAAATTCAGTTTCCTAAATTTAAAATTTATTTTAGTTTATATATATATATATATATATATATATATATATATATATATATATATATATATATATATATATATATATCTTTCTCTGTCTCAAGCATGCTTAGACTTTATTGTGCAATTAATGATTTACGAATTGCTTATATAAATTTTTATTTTTTAAATAGTTTTTTTATGTGTCAAAATATATTGATGATATTTAAAAAATATATATTTAGGTAAAGATATTCATTTTTTTAATTTGTATATATTTTAAAAATTATTGTATAGAAAATAATCTCGTATAATTAAAAATATACTTAAAGTTATTAGTAAATATAAGCATGTTGTAGACTTTTTTAAAATTATTTTATCTTTTAATAACTTAATATGTTTAATTTTATTTATGAGATATTTATTCATGTTTTATATAAGATAATATAAGTTATAATTATTAAAAAATATATATTTTAAATTATGAATAGTGTTACCAAAATAGTCATCACTTAAATGATTTAATTTGATGGACTCCACTTGGTTTTGTACGGTTGAAAAGGGTTAATAACCCAATAGAAAGTGAACAAAAAAGAAATTGGGGAAATTAGGTTAAAAACGGGGACAAATTTTTTTTTAAAGGTTCTAACTATAAAAAATAATTACTCTTAGTTCTAATATTCTACAATAAAAAAAAGTGTTTAACATAAATGTATTTTTGTTAATGCTTATAAATTTTGGACGTAGAATTTTGTATGGATATATCATTGTTTGACATTGTATATGACATATATAGTGAGTGTTATTTGAAATAAATATTTTATTTTTCATTCATAATATAAACTATCAACGAGGGCCATTAATATTAAAATTAAAATTAAAATCAAAATCAAAATTCATTAATTTTACAAAGATTAAAAACATACATTAAAAAAAAATACTTTAATATATTTAGTAATAAGTTGAGATTAGTCAATAGTTTGTGTAACCAAACTCAGCCTAAGTTGACATAACAGAATTGTAATTTATATAGATCAAATTTATCAAACAAAGTCAATATAAAATAAATAAACTTGTGCTCAAGTGTATATATAAGGTAATATGAAATTCATAATAATTGTTTGAAAAGTAAAAGTAAAAAAAGGAAAAAAGAAAAAAAAAAAAGTCAACTCTATCTACATTAGATGCCCAAATAATACAAATTATGAAAATAAAAAAGTTGAATGACACATCGGCACCCAACTCAAACCTATCTTTTGACAAATTAAAAAATTGATTCACAAAATTCAACTCAATTTAACATCCTACTTCCACTCATTAAACTAGAAGAATATTCAAAAGTCATAGAAAGTGAAGATGTGCATATTATTTTATTTATTTATTTACTTATATTATTATTATTATTATTGAATTATAAAAAAAATATGTATTCATATTAAAAAAAACAACGTTAAGAAAATTATAAATAAAATTTATTTTAAAAAAATTATATTATATCAAAATAAAAACAAAAAGCAAAAATTTGTCCACCTAATTATTATACATACCAATTTTAAAAATTTTAAAAATAATTATAGATGAAAATTATTTTTTAAAAATAATTACAATATAAAAATATAAAAGAGGAGAGAAATATTTATACGAACCAGTTCCTTTTATTAATATTAATATTATTATTATTTATTATTATCTACAATTTATAATTATATATAAAGATGGTTTTTTTCTAACTACTTTTTTTATTTATTTTTCAAACAAAAGTGTAATAATTTAAAAAAAAATTGTATTCTAATTTATGTATTTAAAAACTATCTACTACGAGAAAATACTTACTACGACGAGCATCTAACGTCGGTTTTTATGAAGACCGACGTTGTACAAGACGCGGTGGCAAACTTGTAATTAAGAAACAATATTTAACGTCGGTTATAACAAAACCGACGTAGTAATGGACAAATAACGTCGGTTAGATAACAGACGACGTTAAATGTTTAAATTTAACGTCGGTTATGTATAACTGACGTTGAAATCCCAAAATCAACGTCGGTTCCATGATTTACCCGACGTCGAAAGCATTATCCACGTCGGGTTTTTTAATAACCGACGTCGAATGTCCTAACATACCTAGCCTCCAGAGCGCGCAGTTGTTCTTCTGCTTCTTCTTCGTGCTCTGGTCTCAGTTCCTCTGCTACCTCAGTCCTCAATGTCGTGCGCTTAGGCATGGCAACGGGGCGGGGCGGGGGCGGGTTTTGCCTCCCCTGTCCCTGCCCCCGACTTTTTTAACCATCCCCGTCCCCGCCCCCGATCCCCGCCGGGGTTAGGAATTAAGTCCCCATCCCCGTCCCCGCTGGGTTTCGGGTTCCCGCCCCGCCCCGCCCCGATTTATATTATTTTTAAAAAGATAATTATATTTATAATAAATAATTTTATTATGTATTTTTATATATAAATAAATATTTATAATTTATAGTTATTATTAATTAAATATACATTTTAATTTATTATATTTATGTTAAAATATATATGTAAAAGAAATATTTAATTATTTTTTATTTATATATATATATATATATATATATATATCTAATATTTATAACATTATTATTATTATTATTATAACACTGTATTCAAATATTTGAATATTTATAACATTGTTATTATAATATTGTATTCAAATATTTAATTATACATATAAGTTAATTCATTTTTAAGTTGTCTATATATAGTTTATAAGAAAATATTTAATAAGTTAATTCTTATTTAATTAGTTTGAAGTAATAAAAGTTTAAATTATTAATTTCTTTTAATTCTTTAAAATGCAATTATTTTATTAAGATAAAATTTGATATATGATAAATAAGCATAATAAGATAAAAAAATATGACATACTAAATATAAATTATAAATAAACTAATATTAGTTACTACTAAGATTGATGTAAAATATTTAGAAAAAGATAAAGAAAAAAAGATTATCTTTGTGTTCATCAAATTGGTTGAAAAAATTGAAAAACAAAAACAAATTGATGGGAGAGACTAAGAAAATGTGAAAAACTGAAAGATAAGGGAGAGAATAATATAATAAATTAATTGATATAAAAGATTGAAAAAGATAAAAAAAATTAAAAAGTGGGTAGAAGAAAAATAAAAATTGGTGAAATATAAAAAAATAACCTTATATGTAATAGAAAAAGAAAATGAAATACTTTTAAAATATTAATATTTTAAAATTTAAATTTAAATATAAAGTCGGGCGGGACGGGGCGGGGTCGGGGTGGGGATTGCATT